CGGGTTGTCCTTGCCTTTCCATCATCAGTATCGTTTTTGGTTGGTCTTTTGCTCGTCCTCGAACTCGTCCTGTCGTCCTCATCAGCCCCACCCCGCCGCACGGTGGCGGGGCGGGGCAGGGCGGGTGGGGCGGGGTAGCGCGGCGACATAACCGCACCGCGTTACACCGGGCATTCCCTGCCGGTGGGTGGTCTGGTGGCCGCGCGGCTCGGGCGCGCACTACTGAGCGAGGCGGCGGCCGAGAGCTATGATGCAGTGTCCTGGTTCGACAGCGTCACTACTATTTGTAGATGGGGCCCTTCCCGTCGGTCCGGACCGGCGCCGCGGCGCACTGCAGTCGCCATCCTACTTATTGATTCATATGTTAATGACGTGCAGCTGAGCCGCTCCGCCGCAGCAGAGTGCTCCGCGGAGCGTAGCGTTGCACGGCGTGGCGGGACGTGGCGGCGCGTAGCGGCCATGCGTGGCCTTCGAGGGATTTAGTGCATACGCCAAATGCAGGGCAGAAAAAAAACAACAAGGTGAGCAGAGGAGGAAAGGGGAAATGTTGACTGCGACGCGTCGCGCGGGGGCCTCTAGTGGCAAGGCCGGCGCGGATCAGAGCGGCGGCGCCACGTGCAAGGCGCGTGCAAGCTGCGTGCTGCAAGCCGGTTTCACTCAAAATACGCAAAACACTTTGCCGTGCTGCTAAAAGGAATGTTTTTGCGACAGCGATCGCTCCCGCGGTTTTGTATAAACACCTTATCTCCGAGTAGAGTAGGCGGCGGGTGCGCGGCGCGTTGCGAGCGTTGCGTGCGCCGGCGCCGGGCCGGGGCGGGACATGATGCGCCTTGAGAGAGGCCATGTGACAAGGCTGGGCGTGACACGCGCAAACAAACAGACGAACGAACGAACGAACGAACGAACGAACGAACGAACGAACGAACGAACGAACAAACGAACAAACGAACAAACGAACTAACAAACGAACAAACAAACAAACAAACAAACAAACAAACAAACAAACAAACAAACAAACAAACAAACAAACAAACAAACAAACAAACAAACACTTATGGTCATGGACAAAACACGTACGCCCACCCGCCGGCCGCAAAGTGCAGGACGCTGACGCGGGAGAGGGGGTATCGGTAAACAAGCAGACGCCATCTAGCGGACGGGGAAGAAACTCCGCGGCAGCGCTCTGCCCGTCTCTCCCAGCCCTGCTCGCCCTGCTCTCCCGCCTCTTCCTTTTCCTTCCTATCGCTTACCTTCACTCGCGGGCCCTCCCATCCCCACGCCCCTCCCCCCTCACTAACCCCCCACCCCGGCGCCCCACTCTTCAAGAAATCAAAACAAGAGCTGCTCCCGCTGATTTGAAAAGCGAACAGGCGCACGGCGCGCGCACCGCACGGCAGCGGAGCGAACGCCCCGCCTCGCTGAGTCCACGAGGTCGGGGAATGCGTTCGTAAGAATTATCATCATCATAATCATCATCATCCTCATCATCATCATCATCATTATGGCAGTTGGTCTATGCTCTTCACACCGACATCTCTAATCGCGGTTTCAGGTACGGGTGACAAGAGTGTCTAAGTTCTGTAGGGTGCCTACTCACAGGGGTTTTGCACAGCGAATTCCCTACCTCCCAGGCGGCTTCTTATGGCTTACGCCGGAGGAAAAGGTTTCACCCTCTTAACCCACCCCCAGAAAACCGCGCCTGTTCTATTAGCTTTAATTATCAGCAAAGCCCTGACGTTTCAGCCTAATAGAAGTACTGCTTAACAAAAAAATCAGCCTAATAGAAGTACTGCTTAACAAAACAACAACAACAACAACAACAACAACAACAACAACAACAACAACAACAACAAAACATCAACAACAACAACAACTACAACAACAACAACATATGTTCCGATGTGCTGCGTCGGAGGCCAGTGTGCCACGAATGTGTCGCACAGTCAACTTGTTTACGTTTGTTGGAGGTCAGCTGACTTCCTGGCCGCGCTGGCCGCGCTCCGCCATGGCCCCGCCCCGCCCCGCGCGCAGCTCGCGCAGCCAGCAGGCGCTGCTGCCTGTGCCTTACGAAGTGGCGACAAGACAAGACGTCAGGTTCGACCCGGACCTCTCTGGACGGACGGACGGACGCCCTTTGGCGCGTAGTTTCAAAACGGGCGAAAACCGCCGCAGATGCGCAAAGAAACGTATAGGACATCGCTCTGCTCCGTCGAGTTCCCTTCCGAAACGACACAAAATGACAACAACAATGACTATGACTTTTCATTCCATTACTAGCTGAGAGACGTGACGGGCGTGAGGAAGGGAAAGGGGCGCGGGGGGGCTGTGTGCCCGCCTGGCAGGTAGGAGGGAGCCATGAGCACCGACTGGCACCGACCGTCAGCGCCGTCGGTGCAGGCAACCCAACGCGCTCCGCTGCCGCACGGCAGGCGGCGCGCAGGAGACGCGTAGTACAGAGGAGGTGGAAGGATTTGCGGGGAGAGGGGGGAAGGGGGTTTGCAGCAGACAGAGACCGGCCCGGCTCCGTTCGGCACGGCCGAACCGCAGAAACTATTCTAAGACACAATTATTCAGAAGCGGGGTTATTTTCATGTCCTGACCGCAAATCGCGCAGGACGCGGGGTGGGGCAGGGCGGG